TCAACCGGACAAAATTGTGGTTGGTCGGCTGGCCAATGCTTTTGGGAAATAACCTACTGCCACAGAGTCAAAACAGAGCAAAAACAAAGTGTTTCCAGGAGATGTTTATCTTCTCTACCCTTCCCTATCATGAAGATGATCAAGGGAGGAGTAGATTCGATTCACAAATCATCAAGTATAGCAAATTTGTTGCAGGATGATCTATAAACCGATAGGACAAAAGTTCAATAAAAGAAAATGAAAGACCAACAACACCTCTTCCTTATCATGGAGTTACCTCAATGAAAATTGTGGACATTGCTTCATGAATCATTGAACATCACCAAAAAGTATGCAATGGTTCACGATGCAATGAGTTCAACATAACGTCCGATTGAACCCAACTCAATTTTATTGCCCTTTTTTTACTTCTTTTACTTCAATTTTATTAGCCTCTTTTACATTACCTCGCAATTTTCTTATCTCTTCTTCATTTTTGTCCAAAAGTGATAATCACGTCCACTAAGTACAAAAAAAAAAAAAAAAGGATAAAGAGAAGTATCAGAAAAAAGGTTGTGCTTCGCATGAGAGAGATGTAATTCCTTGGTAATGAACCTCCGAAGAGATTAAACCCTTAAGTCTGGAAAGTCTGTTTCTTATGCCTTGAGCAACAATCTAGTGTTGGATACAACTCTTAATCAAAGAAAGTAAAGCAAGGAGGGAGAGTGCAGAGCTGATTATAATGATATGAGGATGTATAAAAGCTATAAAAAAATGTAAAAAAAGATTATCAACTCAAATGGATTGAAAGCTATATCCATGAGGATTTACAACATAAAACCTCATAAAACAGCACTGAAACAACACTAAAACAGTGCTGAAAATTGAGTTTTTGAGGTGGAAAAAGTCAGCAAAAGTAGGCTAAAGCCAAGGGGTTTCAAACAAGCAACAAGCCTAAGGAATGGTAGCTAACCCCTTCTTTTTTTTGTGACTCAAAACTACAATTTTAAGCTAAAATAAACTCTGAAAACATTAGGAAAAAGCAAAAAAAAAAGATAGAAAAAGATGGTACAAAGGCTCAAAGATTACCCTTTAAAGAGATGATGACCTTCTAGTTCACAAACCACAAGTTGACCACCATCAAGAGTTGAAATTTAGGTTTAAGAATCTCAGCAAGAGGTTTCTAATTTTGGCTAAGGTGTATGTATGGTGTATATATATTGCAAGAGAGAGAGGTAGCGTATTTGGTAAGCTATAGGCTCTTAGCAAAATTTTCTAACCCTAAACCATGAGGGGTGGTCATGTATTTATAAAAAAATATATCCTCACGTCGAAAATATCTATATCGAGTCAGCTGGTGCAAGACATGCACATGGGGACAACTGGTAGCCAAAAATATCTGTTTGTCGAGAAACATGGCCGATCGACCATGAAGATGGACGGCCGGCCAACCAAAAATAGCCTGTCGGCCACTTGTTGGCCAACAGGCCTTTGAGTGGTCAGGCTAAAAAAAAAAAAAAAGGTTTTGGTTCAAAAATGGTACAAGGTTTAGGTTCTAAAGCTTAAAAAACCGAAGCCTTTACTGAAAAAATTGAACGATTGTACAATGTAATAATTCACCATCAAGTGTTCAACGTGAGGCGTCCAAGTAATAAGGACGGTCAAAATGGGGTGTCTATAGGCATTTACACACAAATCCTATTTAAGAACTTATACTCCATTAAATCTTAATTAAGATTTTTTTACCTTCAAGTCTCATTAAATTTTTAATAGTTAGAATTACTCTTCAAATAATAATTATTCATCATTTATGATTATCTATAACGGAACGTGATGATTTGACATTTATTTTGATTTTTAAAACTTTCAAATTGAAAAAACTAAGAAGAAAAAAAATTATGTGCAAAAAAATAATAATAAATAAATAAATAATCAGCTTGTTTGGTTTTTGTTTTGGTTTCCAGAAAATACTTTTCAGAAAATTTCACTTTTTTATTTTTCATATTTTTTTGTTTTTAATGAATTTTTTTAATATTTAAAAAAAAATTAAAATTTTTTAGACACACCTAATATGAATACACTTAAAAAGTATAATATTTATGAAAAAATATTTTAAAAACTCAATAAATATAAAAAATATTTAAAAATTTACTAAAATTTAGTACATTTTTCTTATTTTTGTGTATTTATTAATTTTTTAAAAATATTTTTTTCATAAATATTTTATTATTTAGATACATTTAAGTAAGGTGTATCTAAAAAAGTAAAAAAAGTGCTCAAAATTTTAAAAATATTCACAAAAAATAAAAAAATCAATTTCTAAAAAATTGAAACCAAACGCACTGAATGTTTTTTTTTTTGGTTGAAAAAATTGAATTATTTTTTTTTTGCGTAAAATTAAAAATTTTGTGTCTATAAAGGAGCATGATGATGGAATATTGATGTGCAAAACTGAAAAAAAAAATTAAAATGAAAAAATTGATAATGTTTTCAATTTTAAAACTGAAAAAAAACCTTTAATGTTCTCGATTTTATTGGATAATTGAATCAAATCATAAGTAGAAAGGTAAAAATATTTAATCTCACATTCTTTTTTTTTATCAGTTAGTGAAAAATTATCTAGAATATTACTATACAAAATTAATAATGTTTTTAGTTTTAAAAATTTAAAAAAATAGATAATATTTTTAGTTTTACTATAAATAGGACTTATTGATTTCAATTTTTTTAAATAAGACCTAAACTATAATAATATTTGTAAATAATTTTTTTAGATAATTAACTCTTTTCTATTTATATTTATTTCAATAACACGCATTAGATGTGCAACTAAAAATTACAACATCATGGTGGTCCAATGTTCATTTCCATGTGCTTTGCCAACAGAATGGTGGTGCAATCTTCATTTCCATCTGGTTTGCCGAGAGAGGGGGTCCGTTTGTTAAAGCATCTATCAAGCTTTCAAAATCATTTTTTAGTTAAAATTTTTTAAAAATCAATTCTATCAAACTCGATTATAACTCGTCAAAATTTACGATGCTACAGTAACTCATTACAATAAACAAGGCACTCTTCAATGATATTTGCCTGTTACCGAATGTCTGGCTGAAAGTTCGACCGGTCAACGGGATTTTTATTTATTTTTACTTTTTTAAGAATTGTTTGGCTAATAACTTATCAATTTAATAAAAAAAAAAATATTAACAAACATAATAAGAAAATAATATTTAATAAGAATAAGTTAGTATAAAGAGTTTGATGTAGTAGGTGTTAAAATGTGAGTAACTAAAATAATGAAATAGCTTTAATTTAACTAAAAAATTAAAGAGTTTGGTGTGGACGCTCTTATGGGAGATGGAGGAAGGAATGTGATTGAGATGGAGGTGAAATCCATTAATATTGTGTTTGTTTTAAAAAATAGAGAGGGGATTCATAGGGCTTGTTTGGTTTGTTTTTAGAAAAAAAATTTAGGAAAAATTATCTACAAACAAATTTTTAAGAGTAATCAAACCAAACAAATTTTTCCAAAACAAATCTCAAAAATTTGTTTGGTTTGCTTCTTTCCAAAATCACTCTCTCTCTCTCATATACATCAATTCAATCACTTTTTTAAAAACTCTCTCCCCAAAATAATTTTCCAAAACCATTTATGAAAAAAAATAAACCAAACAAGTTTTTATACTTTTTATCTCAAAAACTACTCTACAAGCACAAACCAAACAGGCCCATAAGCCCTCCAAATTAGGATGGGCATTGGATGTTGGGATTGAGATAGAAGCCAAAGATTTGGTATTAGAAAATTACTCATCTGGCTTAACTTTTTTTTAATTTTTTTTACATATTGGATTTTTTTTTGAATATTAATGATTAATATTTTTGTATTTTTATTAAGTAAAAATCATAATTTTATTTATTTTATTATTTTATATAAAAATAATTTAACAATCTCTATATTAATAATTATCATCAAAATAAATATAATTTTATTTAATTCCTTTACTGTCAATTCTCTCCCATTTATCTTCCAAAATAAATAGAATCAAGATCCCCTCTTTGAATTTCTTACTTGACGTCTCACTTGCTAAATCATTAGGCTCATTTTTAGGTCTAATTTCGATGATCCGAACTATTTACATTGTAAAATTTGTTAAGTATATTATACTTATAAAAAATTAAATTAATCAAATATTAAAAAACATGTGTTCAAGTTATCAAACTAAAAATTATTTTTTTAAAAAATTTAATAATTAATTTTCTGAACACATGCTTTTATCCGAATAATTGAATCTAAAAATAAACTCAATAACCCAACAAGTACGAAGCCATGGAAGAATTTGAAGGAGGAGATCCGATTCAAATAAATGGGCCAGCGTTGGACTAGGATTAGTAGAGAGAGACAAAGAGGGGAGAGAGAGAGAGAGAGGGGGAAAACAAACGGGCCAGAGTTATATGATAAGTAGAGAAAGACATAGAGAGAGCGAGAGAGAGAGAGAGAGAGAGTAGCGAGTGTTTATAGAGTTGTATAAGAGGTACCAAGAAAAGAAGGGAATCAAAACAAGTGCACGAACTAGACGGCAACTATTTTATCTTGATTGAAGAAGCAAAGCCCAAATGGAATCTCTGCTTTTTGGGTCTTTTCCCAAACCTTCTTCATCTTCTCTTTCATTTCCAGTTTCAGCCGACCTTTCTTCAATTAAAACTGGTATCAGACTCTTCTTTTCAATGTCTTATTAGTCTCCACGCATTTTTTACTCTGTATTTTCAGATCTTCACTTCTGATAGGGGTTTTTGGGTTTTTGTAGTTTTTAAATCTTTCTGGGTATCTTTTAATCCCTCCACAGATTAATTTTTTTCTGGGCATCCAAGCTCATGTATAATAACTCTTTACTAATGACATTGTGATAATGTGGATTAAGGAAAATAATGGAAATTATGAATGCCTCATGTTTAAAATTTTTAAGTGCCCTTCTCAAACTTTTTCCTCCACTTGTGTTGGAATTAATTTTAAAGTCTACTTTGTTTATTCTTAATACTTTTTCTATTTCAGGTTAACAAGCCGTATCTTCCATTGGCGTCGGGGGAATATTCTGTTGCAACTGGTGTTATGATTGTTTCATCTTTTGCCATTCTGGTAGAAAAAATTAATATAATATATATATTTAGTCCTCCCAACGGTTTGAGTAGATATATGCTTAAATTCAGTTTTTTATTTGTGATGGCCAAAGAAGCATATACACGCGACACAACAAGAACATGCTAACATGATTAATAGAACCAAGCCATATGTCCCAATCAAATAGTGTCGGTTACATGAATTCGTTTTTGCCGTTCCGCTCTATCAATGGCAGTATGCTCAGTTATACCTCCCCCTAATATTTTCATTTACGGTGATCATATCACTCTTTCCCTACCATTGCATCTTTAGATCTTCATTGTACATGATCAAACCATTTTAACTTATTCTCTGTCAACTCATGCTCAATTGGTGCTACTCTTACCATTTTACAAATATATTTATTTTTAATTTGTCTTTCCTAGTTTTACCATATATCTATCTAAGCATCCTCGGCTCATCAATACTTATTTTATAATATGCCAACATGACTGCTTTAAAAAAAATGTAGGACACGACACAATTATATATGAATATATCATTCAATGATAATAAAAAAAAATGCAGTATAACACATTCATATAAATCTTTCTTTTATCAATGTATCCAAAGTTATTTTGTTCAAACTTATAATTAATTTGATATTTGTCTAAGTGACAAACACTTGTCCTATGTATTCGAAGCGTGTCTGGGACTAAAAGAATTGAAAAGTAATAGTTGGACACATTTTGACTAGTGTTTGTCATGTGTTAGGAAATGTCTAATGAGTGTCAGTGTCCGACATGAACACACCATGTTTTTACATGTATATATATATAAATTATATATTATGCTAAATAAAGTGAACGTTACGATCAAGGTTCTGAAAAGAGGTTGCGGTCGCCGTAACGGTGGCGGTGACGCGGTTGCGGTTGCGGGGTGTAAAGGACGTAGTGTAACGGTTGCGGTAACCGGAACTGTGAATTTTTTTTATTTTTTGCACAATTTGAAAAAAGTTTACCAATACACATTTTTTTTCCATGATCATATTTATTGGGTTAAAAATAAATATTGATCAATTTTTGTAAATTTTTAAGAATGATCCAATATATTTCATATTTTTAAATCACTACAAATTGAGTTTTTTACATTTTATTTTAATAATTAATGACTTTATACTATATAAAAAATCAATCACTAACTATTATATATAAGATAAACAATGACAAAAGCAAGAGAATAATTAAGAGCCTAAATATATATATATATATATATATATTCATATTTTAACCAAGCCAAATAGATAATGACCACACTTATTATTATTATTATTTTCAAACAATATATAAATAGACACACACAAACAAAATAGTTTAGTGATAGCAGCTGAATAAAATAGCATATGCTTTACAGCTTCAACAAATCAATAACATTTTCTTCATCTTCCCTCTTCTCTTTCTCTATCTCTTGCTCCTCCATTTTCTCTCTTTATCTTCCCTCTTCTCTTTATCCCTCTTCTCCCATTTTCAGCTTTTTTTTGTGTGTTTTTTTCGAAAGAAATAGTTTGGAACCGTTACGTAACGGTGCGTAACAGGCCGTTACGGCTGTTACGGCGCCGACACACTTGTGAATCTCAATCACACTGCAAAAGCGGCCGTAATGGATGGCGGTAACCGCCAAAACCGTTACGTAACGGCAACCGTTACGTAACGGTGCGTAACAGGCCGTTACGGCGCCGACACACTTGTGAATCTCAATCACACTGCAAAAGCGGCCGTAATGGATGGCGGTAACCGCCAAAACCGTTACGTAACGGCGTTAGGTAATGGTTGCGGCCGCTTTTTAAAACCTTGGTTACGATCTACGAAGCATCGACACTTCAAAACAAGTGTTGTATCCATGTCGGACACACAGACACTTCGGGGACATGTACGGGACACACCGCATGGTGTGTCCCCTTATTTAATTACTTATTTTCAAGGGACACGCTGGAACACTTCAGGGACACACTAGAGACATGCCAAGTTGTTTTTTCTGCCATTTTATTTAGTGCTTTTGTTACGACCCGAATCCGCCCCTAGAGATTTAAGCTATGACCGGCTAGTAATCCTAGATTACCCAGCCTCAAAGACAAAACAGATAATGAATAATAATAGCGGGGCACTGCGGAAGTGTTAAGTATTAGCATATAAGGGTAGTTATGCCTTTTGTTCCTTTAGTCTTTTATTATAAGTATGTGTAACCCTAATATGTTTAGTTGTGTGAAATAATATACAGCAGCAGTGCTCTCTCTTTTCTTCCTCTCTTTCTTCTCTTTCTTTTATGCAAATCTAACATGGTATCAGAGTTTCATCTTCTTCCTTGAAGATTCTTCTCTTGTTTCTTGTTTCTTTCGTTCTTCCCTGTACACAGAAAAAAAAAATTCAAAAAAAAAAAAAATTCCTTCATGGTCAAAATTTGATGGGTTTTCACCCAAGATTTTTATTTTAATTTTTTGATGAGTTTTTGAGTGTTTTTCCAATTTTTGTTGATTTTTGGAAAAACCGATTGATTTTTTTAGAAGTCCCTGCTAGGGCTTGTTTTTTGCTGTTTTTTCCTTCCTCCCACTACCTTGGGAGCCGACTGCGACTCTCCTAGGGTTGGGAGGATTGGTTTTGATGATTTGGCAAGGTTTCACTCTATTTTCGTCGATTTTCCTCAGTTTCAGCATGTTTTCTGTCAGTTTCTGACTGGTTTTGGCCTCTCCAGCTCCTGTTTCAGCTATGTTTTTGTCTCTAGAGGTAACTTTTGTCCCTAAGTTGAGTTTGTGGATTTGCCTCTGTTTGTTTTTGCTGTTTTGGGCTGGTATTTGTTTTTTTCTATTGTGGGCATTTAATCTTCAATGGCTAAGGGTGAGACTAAACATACAATTAGTGATGAGGGTGGCCTCCGTCGTGTTATGACTCTTACTGACAATCCCTCTCTTCAAATTAGTCCCGTTATATTGGATGGTTCCAACTATTTGATTTGGTCACGCTCCTGTGGTCTTGCTATTGTTGCTCGCCGTTTGATTGGCTACATTACTGGTTCTCTTCCCCTACCGGATGGTGATGACTCACTTCATACTCAATGAATTTCTGAAAATGCTCTTGTTATGACTTGGCTAATCAGCTCTATGCAGCCCACTATTAGTCGGAGTTTCCTTTTATTAGATACTGCTCATAAGATTTGGACAGTTGCAGCCCAAATGTACTCCCAACAAGGTAATGATGCGCAGGCGTATGAGTTGAGGAAGAAGCTTCGGAGCTTAGATCAGAAAGATAGATCACTCGCAATCTACTATGCTGAGTTGAGTAGTTTGTGGCAGGAACTAGATTATTACCAAAGTTTCCAGGCTGTTTGTTCTGGGGATGCCACGTTGTTTTAGCAAACCGTGGAGAAAGAGCATGTATGACTTTCTTGAACTTGGAGTATGATCAGATTCGCGTCCAGGTGTTGGGTCGTTCACCTTTTCCCACCCTACGCGAGGCTTATGCCCTTGTCCAGCAAGAGGAGAGTCGTCGTAGTGCTATGGTGCATTCCTCTATTCAGGATCGTTCTGCTTTAGCTGTTGCTCCTCCTACTCGGGCTTCTCGGCCTAGTCCAATTCAGTCTAGGAGTCAGGGTATACTGGTTGATCGAGATTACTTGAAGTGTGATTATTGTGGGAAAGACTGACATGATCGAGAGCATTGTTGTTAACTGAATGGTCGCCCTACTCGGGGTCGAGGTCGTGGTAGTACAGCTCGACCCCAAGCATATGTGTCTGAGATTGCTGTGAGTCCTTTTTCTGAGCCTAGCACTCTATCCCTAGATGAGTTGCACACTCTCAAGAGTTTGATGGCTCGGCTTGATTCTTCATTTACCATAGTTCCTTAGACTTCTTAGATGAGTTACACACTCTCAAGCGTTTGATGGCTCGACTTGACTCTCCTTCTACCACAGTTTCTTCTGCTTCCACTTCTCCCAATTTTGCCAACACAGGTATTCCTGCTAGTGCTCTTAGTACCTTATCATCGCCTTCTTGGATTATTGATTCCGGTGCCACCGACCACATGACAGGTGCCTCTAGTCTTTTCTATTCTTATTCTCCTTGTTCTGGCTGAGATAAGGTTCGAGTGGCTGATGGCACTTTATCCTCCGTCTCTAGCAAGGGTTCGGTTCATTGTTCATCTTTGCTTTCTCTTTCATCTGTGCTTCATGTTTCTACTTTTTCCACTAACCTACTTTCTGTTTGTAGTCTTACTACTTCTCTAAATTGCTCAGTGACATTTTTTCCTACTCATTGTTTCTATTTGGACCTGGCTACGGGGAAAACGATTGGCAATGGTAGAGCACAAGGTGGGCTGTACTTTCTGAATGTCGTTCCTCCTGTCGTCCCATCTCAAGCTCTCAAGTGCTCTACTGGCTGTTCTCTTTCTCTCCTTCATCAGTGGCATCGCCGTTTGGGTTATCCTTCCTTTAGTGTTTTAGAGAAACTTTTTCTTTTTTTAGTTCGTGATTGTCCTAGGAGCATTTTTGGTTGTGATGCTTGTGAACTTGCAAAGCATAAATGTACTTGTTACCCTTCAATTACTAAAACAAGTACTTTTCCTTTTATGCTTATTCATACCGATGTGTGGGGCCCTTCCCCTATGGTTTCTACTTCTGGATATCGATGGTTTGTTATATTTATTGATTGTTTTTCCCGTGTGGCTTGGATTTACTTGCTTCGAATTAAGAATGAAGTTTTTTTTGTTTCCAAACTTTTCATAAAATGGTGACCAATTTTTTTAATGCTCAAATCAAAATTCTTTGTAGTGATAATGGGACTAAGTATGTTGATGGAGTTTTTTGGGCATACCTAGAGGAGCATGGCATTCTTTATCAGACTAGTTGTGTTGGTACTTCTCAACAGAATGGGGTTGTCTAACGCAAGAATGGCCATCTTCTTGAAGTTGCTCGCTCTCTCTTGTTTACCATGAATGTCCCTAAGTCATTTTGGGGTGATGATGTTCTTACCGTTGCTTACCTTATCAACC